ATGCTCACCAAACAGACTCAATGAGCAATGCAGGTCTGAAGAGAGAGCTACAACGGGCTGACTAGCATGGTTAACTCCAGCTACCTCATGCCGTGTGGAGAACTTTAACCTTTCCTTTGTTACAGCTGGACCCGCCTGGACCAGCTAAGCTAACCCTCTTCTTTCAGCCTCATCACAGTTTAATGCATTCCCCAGGATTCAAATGCAATGCCCTAACCACTAGGCCAAAAAATCGTGTGCTTGACAGAGTTGCCACTGGTGAATAGGCCACTCACATTGTGCTGTTACCCAAAAAGGATGGGGGAATACAGACATGGATATTTCAAAGTAACAGTAAATCCAGTGCTAAGTGCAGAGGAATACCCACTACCTCTAATGGAAGATCTGTTTGCAAGTCTAAGTGGAGGACAATCAAAATAGACCTCAACCAGGCTTACCTGCAAATATGTTTAGATTAAAACTCACATGAGTTATTAACAATAAACACACACAAAGCACTCTTTCAGCAAGCAATGGATTAGATCCTCAGCAGTTTGTCAGGAGGTCAGTGTGACTTTGATGTCATCTTCTGTACAGGAGCAAACAATGTACAACACCTCTACTACTTGGATTCCACTCTCCAAAGACTGCAGGAGAATGGGCTAAGAGTATGCAAAAAACTAAATATTTGAAGCCATATGTGGAGTACCTAGGTCACTTGATCAATGCAAAAGGTAGTTCACTCTGTTTCCTTGTATTTAAAATAACTTCCTGTTGTCTGCGAATAAAAAAAAACACATTTACCCTCATCCACCACCTGCACTACTTTAGCGATCAAAAAGGTGTTTGTTACTTTATTAATTCTCATGGATTCTATAAAAAACTAATTTGTTTATTTCCCTGTAAACTGGAATATGTTGTTTGCCTGGCCTTTTTGCTCCTCCTCAGTGCAGGTTACGGTGCTGTGGATAAGGATAAAGCTGCATCTGTTCTCTACACCAGTGGTTCCAAACCTATTTTGACTTTTGTACCAGTTTGGGCATTTTGTCTTACCAAGACTGATGATTGTCCAAAAGTGGAATGTACAGTAACTAATTATAAAATACAAATGATTTTACTTAATCTTTTGACTTAAGCATTTCATTCTTAGGGTTTTATTCTTTCCATCCCAAAAAAAAAGAAAAAACATAAATAATTTGCCTGGAAGTTAGTAAGGAATCAAAATAAATACAAAATTAAATCATATCATAAATCTGTATTTATAAAACTGGAGCTCCTCTGAGTAACTCCCTTATAATCACATTTAAACTCCATGAATTTGGAACAAAATACTGAACATAAATTACATTCACACTGACTTAATTAGTTTTCCTTTGTTTTCATCAAGACACCTGAACTTGCTTTGATGAGCTCCGATAGCTCAACGTGAAAAACAGCTGATCCCAGGCTGTCTTCTAAATCCAGTCTGTTCCTCTGCTTGGTTTTGATATGTCAAAGCTTCAGGTCAACTTAAACATATAAGAAAAACTTTGGTTGATAAAAGCTTGTTTTATTTTATTTTATTTTTTCAATTGGATCTGTCATGATGGCTTATGGATAAAACCCACATGCAGAACACCACCACGGAGACAGGGATAAAAGTTCAAAGGTTTATTAATGAAAAAACACACAACGATAGTTCTAATACAGGTTCTGGTCCGGGACAGACGTCACGAGGGTTCTTCTGTAGAGAAGGGATAGTTTGGTTAGCCGGGGGGCAGGGGAATCTTGACTGAGTCTGAAGCTGTTGTGTACCTGAGGGTATTCAGACAGACGCTGTGAGAGAGGGAACCAGTTGGGTCCAGAGTTCATTATTGCAGAGAGCTTGCAGCGGCAGAGCTTGTCTTCAGACTCGAGTATCTAGGCCTAGAGGGTTTGCCTGAGTTCTCTCCTGAGAACTGGAATCAGACAGAGCTTGTCGATCTTCATGTTAGCCAGCGTTCTCTCCTGAGAACTGGAATCAGACAGATCTTGTGGATCTTCAGGTTCGGCTCGTGAGGACAGGCAGACAGGTCTAGGAAGCAGAAAATACAAAACGAGTTAGATCTCAGGTAACTCCTCAAAGTATTTAGACAACAGATTTGGCAGGCTTGGCTCAGGTTTGGCTAACCATAACTTGGCAACACTCTGGCACTGAAGACAGGTCTGGCTGCTGCTTATGTAGCTGGTCTCCTGATGGGCTGATGATCCTCAGCTGTGCAGGTGGCTCCAGCTCAGGAGACCCAGAGCGCTCTCTGCTGGAGACAGGTGGCAGATCTCCAGATCCCAACAAGATCCTAACAAATAAACAGATCCTAACCCTATTTTATTACTTAGGAAATAACATAACTTCATGTATCCCTTGCAATGCACTCACGATCCACTAGGGGTATGAGTACCCCTGGTTGGGAAACACTGCTCTACACCATACTTATCATTACTTTAATCTTATTTAATGTTTCTTATCAGCACCTTTCCCCATGGCAATGCCTGTTGTTATGGCTATGAGCCAGTTTAACATACAACTGTGTCACACATCATCACCGTATCGCAAATGGTTAGCTGATTTTCAGTCTCTTAGTCTCCTGTGTAGGTCAGATACAAAAAAACTACTGAGTAACCTGAAAATTACTGCAGATAAAGACAATGACTTGTACTTAGAGTCTTTTGTGTAAAGGATGAAATAACCAAGAGTACAGTCCGCTATTAGTTAGTCTGACACATGACCCAGGGCTTTTTTTGGCTTATAATGGCTATATTACATTTGTAATCCTAAGATTTTTTATACGCTGCAGAGGGATTAGGGTAATAGGCCGGCATACACTGTATGTCTTTTGACCTTTTGGGCTAATTCTCCAGTTGAGCAAGAACTTTTTGGATCAGGCTGTGTTTCGGGCGAATCCTACATCCTGTGATATACAGGGAGTAATGAGCAATCTCATGACTGCCTCCTAATCAGGAAAAGTAAGGTCGGGAGAAAATTAAACATGTTTCAAATTCAGTTGACCGTCATGAGGTGCTTGTTACAGTTCTTGTACCATTTCATTGTCTAGAAGTATCTCTTTAATAGTGTTATTGCATCATTAATCCCGATTTGGATGAGTACAAAGGGAAAATGACCTGTATGATAGCCCCATGGTGTGACAACTTCTGCAGGTTAAAGGATGATGTCTTAGGGTGGGGAGCAGGGCTGGAAGATGCTCAATGATTTTTTTTAAACTTTTTTTTGTGTTGTCTGTTTAAAAATTAGAAGTATGAAAACACTGAATTTAATGAAGGATGGACCCACAATAACTAGATGTAATAATTAGAATGTAGAATATTTGATTAGCATTGTGTATTACCAAACGTAGAGTTAAACCTGGAAAACCTATGCCAACAAAGTGATTTCTCTGCCTAATTTTAAATTTCCAAAAAGAAATCTGCTTTGTAATTTTGCTTTTGAATTATGGTTGAGTAGAAATACATATTTTTATTAATAGGATTATTTAAAATCTTTTATATGTTTTAAATGCTTTATTCTATTTAGTTAAGTGTTGATAGCATATTTCATGTTTTCTAGGTCTTAATGTTTGAGAACCTACACATAACTTTGGGGTTGTAAAGTGTTTAAAAAATAAAGATTGATTGATTGAGGTTTAAAAGAGGAGAGTTTAAAATTATAGACTGAACTATTAAAAATGTCAAGAAGGCAAAGTTTAAAGTGGCCCATCAGGCTTTGTCTTTCTGGTGTGAACTTGTAAAATGTTCAAAATGAAACTCAGTTTTGGAAAATTATTTTTTTGCACTATAACCCGACAGCCATCTAAAAAAAGCAATGAATGTTGTTTTAAATTCCATCATAGCAACACTTTGCTCATTTGTTTATTTGACATTTTGAATATGCAAATAGAGAACCTGTCTAATACAACAGATCAGGTAGCACTGAGCTTACTGAGAACTGTCTATAACAAGGCATCCAGCGATTTAATCATTTTCAATCCGAGTGGAAGGACATAACCAGGCTTAGGTTTGTATTTTAACCAATGTATAACTATTATTATTCGGATTAAATTTCTGGAAACAATATTTCCTTTTTATGTCTTGTTTTTTCCAGGTTCTAGATTAAAACAAAAAAGAAAATTCAGATATTTCAAACAGACGCTCTAAATATGCACTGGAAAGTTTTTCTTCTTACTTTAATGGGTAAGTTGTAATGAAAAACATGTTATCCTTGACATTTGACCTAAAATTTGTACAAAAACCACTGGATGAAAGTTTCAGAGGAGTTTTATTATTATTTTGGTTTTGAAGCTGATGGTATGATTTGCTTTAAATGTTTGTTGTTGTTTTTTTTCTGTAGCTCAGAGTTATCTGATGGTCTGTCAGCTCTATGAGTATCACTACATTAAAGAGCTAAAGACCTGGACTGAAGCTCAGCAGTACTGCAGAGAGAAACACACTGACCTGGCCACAGTGTCTAACATGACAGACATGAAGAGACTCCTCTGTAACTCAGCAGGAAACATGAAGGAAGCTTGGATTGGTCTGTATGATCAAAGAGATGCCAAGAGGACATGGCACTGGTCTCTCCCTGGAGTGGAATTCATTGAAAGTGAGAAAAATTGGGCAGATGATGAACCGAATAATAAGGGAACCGATGGTCAAAATTGTGGGATCATATGGAAAAGTGATCTACTTTCCTTGAAGTGGGGAGACATATCATGCAATGAACGTTATCCTTTTTTCTGTTATAATGGTGAAAACCTTTTCCATTTTCTTTTATATATCTTCTTCTATCACACATCTGCATTTGACTAAGAAGCAATAGTAATCTAATTATTTATTCCACAGATAATGACACATCAAACAAACTGCATTTTGTTAGAGAAGAAAAGACCTGGCTGAAAGCTCAGAGTTACTGCAGAGAGAAATATACAGATCTGGTCAGTGGACCTAAGCAGTTGCAGAAGGAACACATTAAAGAAGGGTTGACTTTTGGAGATATACAACAGAAGTACATATTTATCGGTCTGTTCAGTGACACCTGGAGGTGGTCAGATGAAAACAGTTCCTCCTTCAGGCACTGGAATCTAGAGTTTAACAATCAGATAATCAACAGCGGTCAATGTGCCATGGTTGTGTTTGATGATGGAGGTAGATGGAGGAATGAGAACTGTACTGTCAAAAAACCTTTCATCTGTTATGATGGTGAGTTTTTTTTTTTTTTTTTCCTAAAAGTTGATAAATATAACACTAAAACCAACAAGGAATGTATTTGACACAAAACAATTAAATAAAGTAAAACCAAGAAATACAGTATTTCATATCTGCATTTTACTATTGTCGAAAAGGTCTGGGAGCAAGATCAGATATTAAAGAATAAAAATAAAAAATAGATAATTGTCCCATTGGTATACTGTACTGTGCTTAGCTATATGCATAACTTAACCTTTGCTTTTTGTTACAATAAATTATTATTATTATTTTTTTTTTTACTAAAAAGCTAAACCCTAAGCCCTACTAGTCTATCTTGGTATATTTTAGGCAGTTCTAGCCGTTCCGGTATTCATTGATGGTTAGATGGACCATAAGTCCTGGGGAATGACTTCCTGATAAGATGTTTGCTTGTCTTTCCTCATTCCTACAGAGAGTAATGTGATCCTGATCAAACAAAATAAGACATGGGCAGAAGCCTTATCGTACTGCAGAGAGCACCACCATGACCTTGTCACCATCACCAGCCCCACTGAGCAGAGATCAGTCCAGCAGAGTGTCAAATTTGCATCAACTCCTTTTGTCTGGATGGGACTGAGCTATGCTTGCACCCTCGATTTGTGGTTCTGGGTAAGTGATGAGGTGGTCAGCTATGAGAACTGGGGACAAAGAGGACAGATGGATGAATGTGACATGTCTGGAGCCATGGATGCAGGAGGAAGCCATCAATGGTTTAAGAAAATGTATACTGAGAGGTTTAATTTTGTCTGTTTAGAGAAAAGATGTAGGTAATGAGATGCTGTGTATCAAGACCGAAAGCTGGCCGTAAAAAGAGGTGTATTAAGTTGTTTTGGCTTTGTTTCACCATAGACAGACAGATGGACATACAGACAGACATAAACGAACACACACACACACACAGATACACAAAGAGACAGATAGGCAGACAAACACACACACACAGACAGACATACATACAGAGATAGTTCACTTTAAAGTGAGATTTCTTGTTTTCTTCATTCTTCTAAAGGTCCCCTCTATCTGCTCAGTCTGCTGTATCATTGGGAGGTCCTTTAAATATACAGAAAACAATATGCTAATTGGAAATACTTTGTAAAGTTTTTAATCATGAAATGTTTTATTTCATCCTTTAAAATAATTGTATTTGAAAATGACTTATATTATCATGCTTGATTACATCATGTTGTCTAATTTGTTTTATTTTATATGTTCAATGGCATACTCAGTCCTTGATCTTCCTACGCTAAATTAAGTAATCTTGTATTTTTTATTTTTACTTGACAAAAAACTTTTTTGGGGAAATGCTACTTTTACTGTATATACTCAACACACCTCTTTGTGTCACTTATTTTTTCTAAATCATTTATAAGTTAATGCTATAAGAACCCCGATTTTACCAAGCTGCACAGGGAGTTGTGATATCTCATTAGCTTTTGCTTAATCCATAAGGTTAAGAATTAGCTATTATTTTTCTCATAAGACTACTATAGATTTTATCCAGAAGAAAAACCCTGATGAAGTAATGCAGTCTTTATTCAGACACCATGTCAAGTTTCTGTGGATACATAATATATGCAAAAACCAATAAGCATTAGAAATCCAATAAAAAGAATTTAACACATTTAATGTAATCATCTTTGTTTACATGGATATAAACAAAATATCTGTCCTGTAAACATTCCAGTCTGAGGGCCGGATTTATCAAGATCCAATTTTGCGTGC